TATATATATATATATATATAATTTTTTGTTGTTGATGTTGTTATGGTAAAATAAGGGAGGATTTTGTGTTGTATAGTGGGATCGGATTGCGCGCCGCAATAACCTATGTGTTTCTATTTCCTTGAGCTGTGTTGGTTTTCGGTAATCTCACTTAAAACTCTAAGGATTGATAATTCTGATCGCCGCTAAGCTTATTTCTTGATGTTGTAGCTATTATTTTCAGTTGACTGTTTTATTTCGTTCTGTATTTCCTTTTCTGTCTTTATTATATATTGTGTACAGGTTGTAGTGTAGGTGACTTGCCTTAGCCTCGTCACTACTTCGTCGAGGTTAGGCTCGACACTTACAGAATACATGGGGGCAGTTGTAATACTACACTTTGTACTTCTTGTGCAGGTTTTGGAGTCGGTCCCAGCGGCGGTTATTAGCGAGCTCGGATTGGACAGCTTGCGGAAACTTGAGGTACAGCTGCTCAGCGCCCGCAGCTCGTGGAGTCCCCTTCCTTTTTTTATTTGGCTGTGTACTTCTTTTTCAAACAGCTTTTATGTTATTTCAGACCCTTATTTGTACTATTCTAGTAGCTCGTGCACTTGTGACACCGGATCCAGGGTTGTATCAGACGTTTGGCAGTTTTAGCTTCCGCATTTATACTTTGGATTTTTGCAGTTATTTCAGTTCTTTCTCTTTATTTAATCTACACTGTTAAAAATGGTTAGATTGTTCTAACGTTCGCTTGCCTAGCAAATGAAATGTTAGGCGACATCACAGTCCCGACAGTGGGAATTTCAAGTCGACGTGCTTTGGCATCAGCATGTCTAGTTTGTCTTGTTCTTAGACTATTATTATTACTACGTTGTTGCTTCTGCTTCCGTTGTTGTTATAGTCTAGTTGTTGTTACTACTTCTTTTCCATAGCTTCACTGTTGTATTTCTTTTCCTTACTACTGTGTTAATGCTTGACTTGAGTCGAGGGTCTAATGGAAACAGATGGGGACTTGTACAAGGTAGGGGTAATAATAATCTAAGAACAAGGGTATATTATTTTTGTACATGATGGCCGAAAAATGGGTAAAAGAAAATACAAGTGTTAAAATTAGAGAAAAGTATAAGAATACTTTCACACATTGTTGGTGCGTAGCTGCGCACAACTTTCAACACAATAATATTTGTAATGACATTCTAGGAGAATTTCTTTCGAAGTTGTTTAATCACTTCCTTATCGAGCTGGAAACCTTTGACAAGAACATCGTCGAGAATAGGCGGATCTGAAGCAAAAATTGAATTAGGAATTGTGACGACTCCAGGGTTTTGACTGTTGAAAGAAGCTAGCAAAGTAGCACTTTTGTGTCCCACATTATACTGGAAGTGTATAAGCCCCTGAGGGATCACAAACACATCGCCAGGATTCAAAATCTTAGAGAAGAGACGACTCTTAAAGACATTTGCATCAGGAGCAAGAAACCCAGCATAGATAGTACCCTCCAATATCGTTATGAGCTCAGTAGCTCGAGGGTGTGTGTGAAGTGGAACAAGGGCCCCTGGCTCGAAGTCAGCACGAACTATAGAAATACCAAGAGTGTTGAGTCCAGGCATTGTGTTTACATCCACAACATTTGCAGCAAAACCAGAATTGGACATTGGATTTCCACTTACATTAAGACCTGAAAAGAAGAAATCGTCTGCTTTTGCAAGCTTTGGGTCTTTGCAAAACTTTCCATTCAGGAAAACTGCACAAGTGAAATAAAATGAAGCTAAACATATTGTTCAGATATTAAGAGCTAATAGATGATAGAAATTATATATACAACATAAATAGGTCTCATTCCCAAACAGAAATTATATAACATAATGTTTAAAGGGGAAAGGTAAACAATTTAACCCTATAAATTATATGAACTTGCTCAATTTTACCCTCAGTTTCATTTGTAGGTTCATTCATAATCTTGCAATATCATCTCATATTTTCCTTTGTCATTAGCGGAGCTCCAACCTAAAATGGGTGAACTCCATGTATCTAAATTTTATGTCAAGATAAAATCTCCTAATTTACCCTCCAGTTTTTGAATATAGCTTAAAACTACCCTCAAGCTGGAGCGATCCGTCAGGGATCAAGGGTAAAAACGAGACGTTTTCCTAAAAACGAGTTAATATTAGGCCAAAAATCTAACGGAGGGCAAAATCGGTAGTTTACGAATAATATAGAAGCAAACTTGACCCTTTTCCTTTGCTTTTTTCTTTTCATAGAAAAATGATCTGTCAAAAAACTTTCATGACTATAGAAGGATGATTTACCAGAAGCGGTAGTGTCTGTAACTCCAACGCATATGTCTTGTAGAGGGTTGGGATCATAAGCATAAGCTAATTGGGAAGAAAAGAAAGCAGTGATGGCTAAAGTTGTTATTAACCAGGACATGCTCATTGTTATAGCAAAGTCAGGTTACTTAGCAAAAACCCAAGCTTTTTGTGGAAACAAGTTTGTTTGTTTTGGGGTCGTTATGATTTTTTCCAAAACAACCAGAGAGGTGTGACTACTTATAGTTTGATCTAATCATTTTAATAACCTAGTTTCTGTCTATCCAAATGATTAGTCCTGATAATTTCTCATTATTAAATGCAGGTTCAAAACAAGAAGTAACCATTAATATAATCTGTAATCAACTTTACAACTCTATCAGCTCATGGCTAAAATAATCAAGAAAATGGGCTAAATATACTGTGAAAGAAATGCCTCAACAAACCAATAATACATATTTAGTGGAAAATAAGATGTCAACCTATCTTGAGTGTTAGCTTTAAATCAGACTCTTTGTCCAAAAATGTTCTAAAAAGTTGTTAGAGATAGACTTTTGGGCACCCATTTACCTACTCCATAAATAATAGAACTGAAAGAGTAGACAGGCATGCCTAATTTTAGAAGGAGAAGGTGCTACTTATACTGAGGAATTTTGGATAACTTTAAAAGTGATGATCGACACATTTTACTTCTTTTCTTTTCTTGAGAAAGAAAAGTTCATTTTCCCTATTTGTTAAGGGTTTGACTTCATAATCGTGTAAAGTGCTTTTAAGCTGGTTTGACCAGCTTTTAAGCCAATCCAAACACGCTCTATATATGACGACCATTAATCTAGGCTTTTTCTTGTGTAGCATGTCTAAGTATTTCATCAATTATCCAAAAAGAATTAAGGTACATTTACATTTCCAAATCAGATAAACACTGATACTACGTTTCATTGCTGAAGATCATTCACTTTTTCCAGGCAAATTCAAAGCTATATCGGTAATAAAAGGATACACACAAAAGTCCACCCCTTTAGAGACAGAAAAAGTTTTGCCCTAACTTGGAAAATCACAACCCGCGCAAGGAATTGCATTTTTAACCTCCTTATTGTCTTCTTATCATTTTGCATTGCATATTCTTAATACATTTTGGTAATATATGCGCCTATGTTAGTTAATCATGGTTTCTACTTTCTAGTAAGGTGCTTCAGCATTGCCTTATCTTGGCTTATGGCAGCTTAGAAAGGAAAAAGAAAAACTCAAGTGACGGAGAGCAACAACAACAACAACAAAAAAAACCTAGGGTAATCCCACAAGTGGGGTCTAATATATAAAGCGACGGAGAGCAATGAATGAAAAAGAAGCAAAACAAAATGGCAGTGTAAACCAATAAATAGCAAATCTCTAAATCTTTCACGAAGTATCAAAAAAGAAACAAGGTTCATTTCATATCCAACTAACATTACTTAGCTCAATACTCAGATGAAACACGGATGTTACCTTTTATTGCTGAAGATCAGAAGCTTTTATTTCAGGCAAAATCGCATCATGACCCGAACTGCTTCAATTGTCTATAGATCCATGAAATATATGAGTGAATTAATGTTTATTGGGGATGGTTCAATGATCATTAAACTTTTCATTCAAGCCTTGTACACCACAAGACAATTAGTATCACGAACTCTGTCACAACACTCCAGGGCTTGATATTCAAAACTTGAGGCCTTGGGTATGTTGAAATTCCCTGGCAGCTTATTATCCATGTAAAATACTTAGAAGAATAGAGCGGAAATGGTACAGATGATTTATATAGCCGCACCCAATTCAAAGGTGGCTGGTTGATTAATTGATTGTTAAAATGCTTACAAGAGAAGTACATGTTACTCAAACAAAGGTATACCGTCTATATATGAAAAATATGGAGATCACAAGCCAACATTTTGGCACTTGCTCGAGACTAACAAAAAGGAAAACCAAGACGAGTACCAAAGACAAAGGGTAAAGAAGTTTTAGCTACAACTAAAGCTCATCAAATAGGTGTTTATCAACTCAACATAAGCGCAAAAATCATCACGCGAAGGCTCAAATTTCTAAGAAAAAACAAACCTAACTAATATGGAAAATGTGGTATACTTGATAGGAATCGATGGTCCCCAGCACTAAACCATAAGCTCATCACATTTACTCAAATTACTACAAACATTGCATTCCATAACTGTCGACAGAGATGCATCAGAGGGAGGCAACGGAGCCAATGTACCCCCACAATTCTCTCGATTACACATGTACCGCATGAAGAAATACGCGTGAGGAAAATCTTGATCACCCTCCTCCACCTCATCATTTGCATTTACTTCATCATCCACTTCTTCCTCCATTACTTCATCCTCTTCATCCTCATTTTCCTCGCCCTCGTTATCCATAGCATCATCATCATCGTGATCAGACCAATTAGCCTCGACAACACACCGATCACAATTACATATAAACCCATAATCCTCCTTCAACCTCTTCTGCCTATCGGAATACTTAAAATTCACAGGGAAATAACTCAAACAAATCTCTCTTCCCTCGGGTACATCATGAATAACCCTAACAATCATATCAACATTACTCCTATCACTAACATCACTATCAACATACTCGAACCTACACGCGTTCGGAAGGCAATCGTGATTAAAAAACGAAGCCATAGGATAAATACCATAAGCTCTAACACCCCTTTCTTTATTAGAATCAAAAGGTTCCATCAACCCAAATGCATTTACCTTATCCTTAGCCAAAAGAGCAGCAGTAAGCTCTTTTGAGAACCCAAATTCACTCGTAGGCGGGTTGAGCGTAGCAACGAGGGAATGAAGCAACAGAGCATCATTTTCAGAAATAAAAGACGGATCGCCTTGAAGGGATAATAAAACACGAAAAGAGGAAGGAGAAATGAGTGCTAAGTCATAAGCAGAGATTAAAAACCGAGCTTGAATTTGTTGGTCTATTAGTAGGTTATGAGAAGATAAGATATTACGGAGTTGGGTTAAAGATTGACAAACCCAAGGAGTGTGAGAAGAGGATAAAGCTATGGATTGACAACTAGAGGTACAAAAAGCTGAAAATGTGCACATTGGGCATGGGATTGGAGATTGGAGTATTATTTTGAAGCAATTTGAGCAAAAAGTATTGTTTGAGGGGATCAAAGGAGATGCAGAGTAAAGAAGGAGAGGGGAATCTTTGAGGATTACTTGGCCAGGTTTTAAGGGTTGAGTTGAAATAAGTCCTCTTCCTCTTCCTTGTATTTCTGCTATTTTTAATAATGGGTATGGAGATTGGGAAGTTTTCTCCATTGTTGTGTGCTGCAATTTTCTCAAATTTGCTGCTAGCCTGCTACTGAAAGTTTGGAACTTACTGCTAGGGTTTTAGCAGGAGAAATTGTTGGGTTTTAGCGTTTCCTCACACAGAAACCACTTAAAGAAGAAGGCAGATTTGACCCGAAAGAAATGCTAATTTGAAGCCCATGGACTATGTTGCTTTTGTATTGGGCCGAATTGCATAAGTGGCCTTTTTGGAATTCGCTTTTCAAGGGGATTCTTTTTGGGTCACGTTTTAACTTGTACCCGCTTTGCAAAAAAAATACAAGCGTACCCACTTTTTCGCGTAACTTCAGCATACGGACTGAAGTAGCAAAGGCAATCACGCAAACTTCAGCACTCTAGTAGACGGACCTGAAGTAGCAAAAATTGTTGAACCAAGTGTGCTAAAGTGTTTGTTTGTTAGCTGGAGTTTTGTTCTCTATTTGCCGAAGTTTTTGTTTGTAATTGCTGAACTTAAGCATTCTAGTAGCTGAAGTTTTATTCTCTACTTGCTGAAGTTTTTGTTTGTAATTGCTGAACTTAAGCATTCTAGTAACTGAAGTTTTGTTCTCTATTTGCCGAAGTTTTTGTTTGTAATTGCTGAACTTAAGCATTCTAGTAACTGAAGTTTTGTTCTCTATTTGCTAAAGTTTTTGTTTGTAATTGTTGAACTTAAGCATTTTAGTAGCTGAAATTTTGTTCTGTATTTGCTGAAGTTTTTGTTTGTAATTGCTGAACTTCAGCATGTTTTAGCTGAAGTTTTTCCCGTAAACTTAGTGTTGGCTGAAGTTTTTATTTGTAATTGCTGAACTTAAGCATTCTAGCAGCTGAAGTTTTGTTCTTTATTTGCTTAACTTCACCATGTTTTAGCTGAAGTTTTATATTATTAATGGAGAAAGTTCAAATTATATATTCAAGACGAGATTTTTCAACAATGGCAGTGTCATACTCAGTCTTTAACTTAGAATATTCCTGCTCCAGTTTCTTGTTTTTATAATGTGCCCCCCTGTTCTGAAACCAAACAGCAACTTGGTGAGGATCGAGGCCAAGCTCAGAAGCAAGCTTGTCCTTCCTCTCTGTATCCAGTTTGTGTTCTTCCTCAAAGCTCTGTTCAAGAAGATTAACTTGTTCTTCGCTAAACTTCCTCTTCATATATATAATTTCTAGTTATTTTTCCTTTGTTTAATAGTTTTATTTGTAATTTATTTTTAAATAATTTGATAAATATACTTATGACAATCATCCCTATGAACTGAAGTTTCATAGCAGCACAAACAGCAGCAGAAGAAAGAAGAAGAAGAAGAAGAAGAAGAAGAAGAAGAAGAAGAAGAAGAAGAAGAAGAAGAAGAAGAAGAAGAAGGAGGAGAAGAAAGAGGAGGAGAAGAAGGAGGAAGAGGAGGAGGAGGAGGAGGAGAAGGAGGAGGAGAAAGGGGATTGAAGTTGTTTAAAAAGTGGGTACAAGTTAAAAAAAATTTAAAAAAATGGGTATAGGTTAAATGGGGGCGACCAAATAGGGCGCCCCGTGCAATTTTTACCTTTTTAAGTCGGGGAGGGATCTTTACATAAATAGCCGGTCATATTTATTGTTTACTTTTTCTAGCCATATACATAGATTATACATTCATTATACATAATTATACATATATAATACATAAATTATGCATACATTATACTTCAACCGGCTATTTTTGATTTATGTGCTTGGGTGGGTGGCCATTTGGGTTAATTCTTCTAAGTTTTTTGTCTCTCTTAACTGAAAAAAGCAGCTCGGTACACAAAATATCACGCATTCATGTAGGGCCCATAAAAGGTTATACTCCAAGAAATATGATGTAGACAGCCTATCCTATGCATTTATTTCTTTAAGTGAAATTACTAAAATAGCCTCGCACTATTTAGGGGTGTCCAACAGTTGTTTTGCTATGATTCTGAAACATTTTGATTTGGTATTTTCGATTTTGATAAGAACAGTAATTTGTGGAACGTAGAATTATTTAGACTATCGAGTTTCAACTTAGAGCTCCTTTAACTCTGAGCTACCATATGCCTATTTGGAGTGTTTTACGATCAACAAAGTTAAAAGCTTGTTGGTAGCAAGATCTACGTACCTTATAATTATAGTAAACTTTATGCTCACCTAAAGATCTCATAGAACTCAATACATGGATAATTCAATTTAAAAGGGAAAAGAAATGTATGTCATACTATTTTGTGCCCAAGTCTTTTCAATTATGCTCTATATATCTCTGTTGTTGGTCAATGGTCATGAGTCTTACTATTTTAATTGCACGAAGATGAATCTAATTTGCAAAGTGCTCATCTAATAGGTCTTCTTACTGACTCTAGACAATACTCTATCCTGCCCACAATAAGCAATCATTTTACTTTTGGCACACTCATTAAAAAAATATGAATTCCTAAAGAAAAAAAAAAGAAATATTCACTATATTAATCTCAATTAATTATTACCTTAACACATTGAAATACGTAAATAAGGGCAAAGTTTGAAAAAATAAAATTAATTCCTTTTTTATTATGTAAATGAACACTTGTTTTGAACCAAAATAAAAAAGTAAAATGATCACTTGATCGGATGGAATAATATCCAGCAACTTGTTCTGGCGACATACTATTCATTTTACTTGGTTTTAAGTGTTTTATAGCCTGTTTGGTTTTAGGGTCCAAAAGTGCTTTTTCGGCCAAAAGCATTTTTGGCCAAAATTTGAGGTGTTTGGCCAAGTTTTTAGAAGAAAAAAAAAGTACTTTTGAAGAGAAGCATAAGCTTTTTTGAGAAACAAAAAAAAGTAATTTCTCTCCAAAAGCACTTTTCTGATAAGCGCTTTTGAAAAAAATACACTTAAAAAGTAGTTTTCAAAAGCTTGGCTAAATACTAATTAGTGCTCAAAAGTGATTTTCAAATCAATTAGCCAAACGCAAACTGATTCTCACCAAAAATACTTTTTTAAAAATTACTTTTAAAAAAAACACTTCTCAAATAAGTTGATTTTAGAAGTTTGGCCAAATAGGTTATTAACCTTCCACCTCCTTTTTGGGTTGCACATTTAATCCACTTTTTTATTGTGCGTGACAAGATTTCATTACACAAAAGAACTTTTAAAAGAATATCACCGACTTATATTGCTCGTACTTTTTGAAAATGTCGTAAGGTGTGTGTCGAATCCTTCAAAATACACTAATTTTTTTGGAGGATTCGACACGGATGCAATATCATTATTTTGAAAAATCCGTGCAACATAGTCACCAAGTTTAAAAGAACACAACCAAATTACAGGAAAAAATAAAATCACAGCAAACTAGAACTTGTCTCCTTAAATTTCAAGAGAGTTCTCAGCACTTGTACAAATGACTAAAAATTTTAAGGTTGCAACAGCACAAACATGTTCACTATTTTCTCGAGAACTGTGCTCGAAGATGTTCAACCACTTTCTTATCCAATCGAAAACCTTTGACAAGAACATCATCAAGAATTGGTGGATTTGATCCAAAGAGTTGAAAAGGAATCATATGAACTCCAGGATTTTGGCTGTTGAAACAACTTAATGCTGTCGTATTAGTAGTTCCCAAATTATATTGGACATGAATAAGACTTTGTGGTATCACAAAAACATCTCCTGGATTCAAGATTTTCTCAAATAATCTTGATTTGAAAGGATTTCCTGGATCAGGAACAGTAAATCCAACATATAAAATACCCTCTAATACAAGGATTAACTCATTTCCTCTAGGATGAATATGAGGTGAGATTAATCCAAATGGTTCAAGATCAGCACGAACAATTGAAATACCAAGAGTGTTGAGTCCTGGCATTCGATTTACATTCAATATATTCACTGCAAAACCAAGATAATTTGGTATTGGTGGTCCACTTTCATTAAAACCTGAAGCAAAGAAATCATCTGCAGTTGCTAGCTTTGGATCTTTGCAAGCTTTTCCATTCATTAAAACTGCACTTAAAATGAATAAGAACAATATTAGCAACATAAGTTAGACATAGATTTAGCTTTTAAGCAAACAATTTAAAGGAGTCTAAGTTCTATCCTCTAACATTTAACACAACGGATCCTTAATAACAGATGCGGAGCCAGAATTTAAAATTTATGGATTCTGGATTTTAGTCATTTTAAGTTATTGAGTTCTAAATTAATAATTTGTACATATCCAATGAATAGGATTGGCCGAGTTACTGGGTTCAGTTGAACCCGTAACTTATACATTGGCTCCACCATCATGTATTGAACTACATTTTTAGTTAAAAAAATGAAAAATAAAAAATTTACACCGTCACTCTATATAATCATTATCGGTAGGGACGAAAATAATATAGTATTTGCGGGTTCGGCCGAATCTAGTAACTTTGGTCTAAACTTTATATTTGTCATAAAAAATTTGTTTGAATATATATAAATTGTTAATTTTATAACCCAGTAACATAAACGAACTAGAATTCTAAACCGATATTTTAAATCCGGACTCCGCCTATGAGTACAGGGAAGATGGAAAAGAAAATAAAGATAGATGAATAAGTTACCAGAAGTATTGGAATCTTCAACTGCAACACATAGATCCTGGGGAGGGTCAAGATCATAGGCTGAAGCTAAGGAAGAAAAGTAAGCAGTAATGACTATAGTAATTATCAAGAAGGCCATTGTCATTGTTATGATAATTTGGCTTTTAATCATAACCACTCGAGTTCGTGGATTTTTAGCAGTTGCCCAAGAAACTATCTTATGTAGTTGAATGTTTCATAAATTTATTGTGGAGCAGCAAAAAGCAATCAATATTAATTTCAAGAAGAATCCTATGCTTTTCCTTTCCTATAGAGTTTCCCAAGAAAGTGGTCAACATCAACATGTCTTTTTCGCACGATAAATATTTTTTCATCATGAACCTTGTGGTTGTTGGGGTGTTAATACCATCCGTTTTGAGTCAAGCCGACACATTTTTTTTAAAAGGCCTCACTTGAATATTCAACATATTATAAGTAGAATTTTTTTCTTTTTATATAAGATTTTATTTACACACCCGATAATTTCTCTCTTAAATTAAACTAGTATTAGTACTCGCGCAATGCGCAGAC